TTCAATACCTTGTAGTAGCTTATGGCGAAAAAGAATATGAACATAAGTATATGTATACTCATGTATGACTGAAGAATTGTGCTGTACACCAGAAATTGACACAATATTGTAAACTGACTATACCTCAATAAAAATAAATAAGTAAATAAATTCAGCAAGGTTTCAAGGTTTAAGATAACGTACAAAAGTCAGTTCTACTTCTACACACTTGTAATAAACAATGTGAAAGTGAAATTAAGAAAATTCCATTTACAGTAGTATCAAAAAGAATAAAATACTTAAGTATAAATTAAGCTAAAGAATTGTAATACTGAAAACTACAAAACATAATTGAAAGAAATTAAACTCAACAATTAAGACAAATAACTCAAGTTTTAAACCTACCAACAGTGTACGAGGAATGTAAAATGCTGTACTTGCTTTTGAAAACTGTCTGGGAGTTCATTAAAAAGTTAAATACAGAGTTACCATATGACTCAACAATTGTATTCCTAGATACATACCTAAGAGAAATGAAAACATATAGCCACACCAAAACTGGTACAGGAATGTTTATAACAGCATTATTTACAATAGTCAAAAATTAGAAACAATCCAGATGTCTTTTTTTAAACTGAACTGTAGTTGATTTACTATGTTGTGCTGGTTTCAGGTGTACAGCAAATGATTCGGTTATATATATATATGTATATCAATATTCTTTTTCAGATTATTTTCCATTGTAGGTTATTACAAGATGTTGAATACAGTTCCCTGTGCTATAATGTAGGTCCTTGTTGTCGATCTATTTTATATATAGTAGTGTGTATATTAGAGAAATGCAAATCAAAACTATAATGAGGTATCACCTCATACCAGTTAGAATGGCTAAGATCAAGACACCTACAAATAATAAATGCTGGAGAGAGTTTGGAGAAAAGGGAATGTTGGTAGAAATGTAAATTGATGTAGTCACTATGGAGGACAGTATGGAGGTTCTTTAAAATAGAGTTACCAAATGTCTTTTAACTGATAAATGGAAAATGTTATGTAATTAGATAGTGATGGTGGTGGTACACTTATACTAAAACCAACAGAATTGTACACTTAAAAATGAAGAATTTTATGGCATGTAGATTATCAAAATTTTTAAAAAGGAGAACCCAAGAGCCTCAGCCATTCCAGCTTCCACTCATACCAACCTAGAGATGTCATCCTCCAGAAATCAGGTCCTTGAAAATATCTGAGTGCCTTAAAAATTACCTACCTTCTGTCCCACCAGCTGCTGCCAGTTTTCAGGCCCAAAGAATATTAGAGATCTGTTGGTTCTGACCTCAAAATAACTTTCTACCAGTGTTCCATTCAGAATCTCAAGATCAGTTGATTCCACTCATGTCTTTTATCTCAGTAATTTGCACTCACTGGAAATCTAAGCTTGGAATTTCTGGATCAAGAATACCAACTGAGTACCAAGTCCTCTACATTCTGAAATTTGTATCAGAATGACTGTTTAAAGTACTAGAAATCTGTTTTAACAGTACAGAGACATCATATCTTACACATTGGAAGGACAAGTGAGTAGCCTAGGGCTTTCCAATTCAGAGGCTGAATAACATCACCAACAGCCCAGCATCTTTCCATTCTTCTGTTGTTCAGGTTTCATCCCCAGGATCACTCTCAGACTAAAATAGGTAAAGAATTACAGAAGAGAACGTGCTAAGAGAGCCACACTTAATTTCAAGAAAGGTGCTCTCCAGGAGATTAAAAGAGAATAAAAGAGGAGAGCACTGCAAGAGTCATTGATGAAATGGGTTTGAAATAGAAGGATCCTTTGCTCCTTGAGCTGACGTCTAGGAGAGTGCATCCCAATCTTTTGTGAGGATCCTTTTTGGGTGCCCCCTAACAACACTGCTCTCACTAAGCCATCGTGCCCTCCTAATGGCTAATATCAATGGTCTAGTTTGAGAGTTTGTACTACTTGATCTTTACTCAACAGATGATATGCTGACCAAATTTTTGTTTTGTGAAAACTTTTCCCCTCCTCACTTCCACGTGATTATTCTCTAAGTGTTTTCTCCTTCTTGTTGGTTTTTGTAACTTTTCCCTTCTCCCTGAACTACTTCATTCTTAGCCTTCTATCATGCCCAATCCCTAATAACTCTCATGTCTATATCTCCAGATCCATATTTCTAACTTACTACTAGATATCTCTGTCTGGATGCTATAAAGGTATCTCAAATTTAAAATGCCCAAACCTTATCTTCCCTTCCACCTCCTCCAAAACCTCCTCCTCCTCCTTTGTTCCCTATCTCAGGGAGTGGTACCACTATCCACCCAGGAACCCAAGCCAGAAACCTGGGTGTCATCCTCAACTCCCTCTCCACAGTCAAGGGACCATTAAATTCTCAATTCTAAATTAGAAATGTTTCTGCAACCCAATCTTTCCTCTCTAGCCACCCCCAATAGCCTTCACATAAGTTCTCATCAATATTATTATCAGCAATAACATCTTAACAAGTACTAAGATCCTCTACTACCAGGCTCTGCCATCTCCATTCTTTCTTTAGAATAGAGGCCATCAGACTTAGGGGTTTCACTGTGATAAAAATTTAAAAAATGGTTTTGAGAACTGATACAGCGTGGGCCTCTCTTCTTAAAAAATTTTCTCAGCACACAAGAAATTATCATCTACTCTGTAACTTCACAATAATTCTAGAAGACTGTTGAACTTCAAAAATTAGAAAGTAACATACTCTCAGAATAGAAAACAGTTCTTTAAATATATTTGGCTTTTTAAATGAAACACGTACAATAAAAGCCATACTCTTTAGGGTAGCATAGAAGGACCTTTACAATCTGGTCTCAATTCACCTAGTTCTCAGCAAGAACTTGCCCTACACATGCCATATTCTTTCATGCCTTAATGCTGGTTGTTCTTGGTCAGGAGCAATTCCCTGCTGCCTTCTCCAAGGGACATATGGCATATCTCTGTTATGGTCTGAATTGTACTCCCTCTAATTCATATATTGAAGCTGTGAATATATTGAAGTGTGAGTATATTTCTATCTATATCTATATATGCCATATCATCTATACACTATTAAAGTAGTTATATAGCATTTTTAACCATGAAGATATGAAAAAAATCCTCAGTATTTCCCTTAATGCCAAGCAATCAATCTTTCTCATTTTTTTCTTAATATACTTCTTGCTAACCCATTGCCAAAGATCACATAATACATGTGTGCCTTAGGATACCTAGGCCATCATATAATCCATACAAAGGGAAAATTTTCAAGAGCATGGCTTATTAACAGTAATGCTGGCTAACATTTATCACTATTGTGTCAGTATTCTGCTGTCATAACTGCTTTCTGTCCATTTTGAAATTAAATTTCCATATCTTATGATGTGGTACTATTATAATCCTCATTGTACAAATAAGAAAACTGAAATTTGAAGAGATTAAGTGACCTGTCCCAAACCATACCACTAGCAAGGACTTCAAAGAAAATCATGCAGGGGCTAATCATGTGGTTTCTTTTTGGAATTAAGATTTTCTCAGCAAAAATACATTTTTTGGACAAAACAAATGTATCTTACTACAATACATTGATCTTACAACAGGAAACACTCTCTAAGGAAAAAACATTATTTTCATCTGCTTATCTAGTCAACCATCTGAGACAAAATGACTTCATGTAATTACCTAGAAAAAATATTTTAGTCTGTGCTGGTATTGAGTTATATTTATTACAGGTTCTCTTAGATTCTTACTTACGTTTCAGCATTTCTCATTCCTTTTCCCCAATTTCCTCTTGTAGACAAAACCAAATGAAGAAAAATGGTAAAAATAAGGAGTGTCCTGGGCTGTTTAGTTACCTTAAACTCTGGAGTGTCCTGGAAAATTATCATCCAGCAAATATCCATTACCATACTGTCAAAATATGTATTGTTTTTTACTATTACCTTAAAGTTTTATTTTCTTGTCTCTTTTCAGGAGAAGAAGGGGGAAAAGTAGAGTACAATGCCTTTGCAGCCAAGAAACTCTATTTTGTTTTATTATTGGATTTTAGCATCTTATTTTTTCAGTGAACAAATTTTATTTTGACATTAGTAGCTCTGTAGATCAACTTATACCTCAAGTACCCTTCATCAAAATTCATCTACCAACCCCACAGGTTCTGTCTCCCAGGACACTGTGTCTCCTGGGTTGGGTCTGAGGTGGTAGCCACCGCCCAAGTGTTCCCAGAACTTTTACAGGAATTGGGAAGATTCACAATAAAGCTTGAACATATTTTTTTATATAGCTGAACTTACTTATAAGGATGTTGAATGCTAAATTTTCTTGGATACTTTTTTTTTCACTTTTTTAACTTCCACCAAGAAAAATTATTTCTAGTCTGCAATGAATACATTTGTATTGAACTGATTTGAATTTCAGTTGGGAAGGCAGAATACAGAATTATTAAATTTCTGGTGTCTAATGACTTGGGTTTGGATTCAAGCTCTCCTATTTATGTCCTATATGACTTAGTGCAATTTACCAAAACTCTCTAATTTCCCCAACTCAAAAGTGGGTTAAGAGAGATGAATGTCAAGTCCTTGGGCTTCTTTTTAAGTGCTATTTATACACTGAGTATTTACTGGGTTCCTACTATGCTTTAAAGGTGGGTGCTGGTGGTAAGAGCACAAAACATGCAAGGCTCCTGCCTTCACTGAGCTCAAGGCAGTTGGAGAGAAACACATACAACAAATAATCACACAAATAAATTAATTACAAACTACTACAGGAAGAGGTTCAATGAAAGGTTGTATGAGCAGGGCCTGATTTAGATTGTTGAGGACGGATTATCTGAGGGAGTGCATTTAAGCTGAAACTTAAAGGATGAGAAGATTCTATATTTCCTCTCGTTTCTCAGCTCTCTTTAGTCTGGCTTCCTTCTCTCTACCTAAGTAGCTCTTACTCACCAGTGGCTTCCACATTACAATATATATCTGACATTTTTGAGTCCTCTTACTTGACCTCTTAGCAGCACTCAACGCAGTTGACCACTCCTTCCTTCCTGAGGCGCTGTCTTCCCTTGGCGTCCCTAATAATAAACGTCTTACGTTCTCTTCTCCTCTGACGGCCTCCTCAAACCCTTTTGCAGGTACATCTCCTTAAGCGCCTGGACAGCTTCGCCGTGAGCTGTAATTATGAATGACAACGCGGTCCTTTTGAGTCATAAAAAAGGAGTGTGTGCAACTGAAGGCACTTTTTTCGCCCCTCTCCTCGCTTCCGGTATATTGTATAAAACCATGAATATAAAACTTTTGGGTTTCAGCAGAGACGCGCCTCTCTCTCGTGGGCAGCGCCACTCCACAGGGTAGGTGCAGGAAATCAAACTGACACAAGCAGACAGGTTTGCCCGAAGCACGGGACGAGACACAGATGCAGCCTGGCCGGCTTTTCGCCACCACCTCAGCCGCGCGCAATCCAACGTGAGCCCCGCCTACTCTGCGCGCGACCTTCCGCGTCGAGTCCTCCTCCGTCCCAGCATTCCCCGCGGCCCTACCATAGAGAGCAGCTTCCGGCGTAGGTGTGTGAAGAAGGAGCGGGCCTTCACCGTTCTGTCTCACTCCCTCGCGCTCTCTCTGGCAATATGGCGGGCGTGGAGGAGGTAGCGTCCTCCGGGAGCCACCTGAATGGCGACCTGGATCCAGACGACAGGGAGGAGGGAGCTGCCACTACGGCTGAGGAGGCAGCCAAGAAAAAAAGACGGAAGAAGAAGAAGAGTAAAGGGGCTGCCACAGGTAAAAGGAGTTTTATGTTTTCCCAGTCCACGCCGGGATGGCGGAACGGCTCGACTCAGGCCCGGCGTGGGTGACAGGGACTGGGGACTCGGAACCCTAGGCTGGTTCCCAGGACTGAATTTGTGTCCAGGCCAGGCTGCAGATTCCCAGTCCCGGAGAGAGGCGGTTTCTCCCGTGGGACTAGGGAGCTGGTGGGTGTGGGGTGGAAGAGAAGAGGGTGCCTCAGCTTCCCTAGAGGTAGCTCTTGGGCCACTGTTTTGCCAGAACTCCGCTCCCACGCAGACCGTGCAACGGACTTGGAGCCGTGCATAGGGCCCAGCCCTCCCACCTTCCTCACGGTTTGGCCTCCTCCTCCAGAATCTGGTTCTGACCCATACTGCCTCCTCTTTACTAGAATAACGTGGGACATAATTTCGTTGGGGGGGGTGGAGTTGGCAGGTCTTAGTGTCTCGACCGCTCCTCCCCCCACCACCCCAATTTACAGAGGGATTTTTGTGGCAAGCTGCACCTCTAGGGTCTGTATGGATGTGTGTATGCCCACGCTCTCTTGTCACTGAGTGGTAATTGAAGGATGTATGTGATGGTGGTGCCTCATCTGCCTAATGCTACAGCATCATCTAGCTTTAGGGCTTTTAGACCTGAGTTAGGATGCCACTTGTAGGCAGTCTAGATATTCTGTGGGTCCGAATGGAACTCCTCTAAATCCACTAGTAAGGCAAGGAAAACAGCTGAAAGTTAACACTTGGATTATATCATGAGTTATATTTGATTTCAAGAAGTCAGTGTTTTTGTTGCTCAAAGGCGTTCATTTTAGGAAAAATAATTTATACTATTTCTGATTAAAATCAGCCACGGAAAGAATGAGAGAAAAATGGAGAGGCCATAGGTGATGAATGTGGAGTTGATAGAGGTTGGAGAGGGCTAATCTGTATATTTCTGAAATTTTGATTAGATGGGAGTTGAATAGGGAGAGTTGTAGGTGCTGGGACACTTCCAGAGCAAAGTTAAATCCCAGAACATAGTCTGGTTCTTGGCTTTCAGATGCAAGCCAAACTCTTCAGTTTGTTCTTTAAGGTGTTCAGAAGACTGCCTCTAAAATATTTTTAATTGTTATATCTCTGTATGAACTCTCTGCAGTAGCCAGGATGTCACTTCGTTATGTGCTGCCTGATAATACTATTTCTATTTATGCATATACGTTGCTCTTTTAGCTAGATTGTAATCCCTTCCAGAACAGGGCCTGGTGTTGTGCATAGCTGTTGGAGAATTCTGTTTTTAGTAATGAAATCTCTTTTGTTTGTTTTGACTTCTCCTGGCCCAGCTTGACAACTTCTTTCTTCATAAAGCCCCCAGAGTCCCACAGAAATCCTCTTATTAAGTTTTTTAGCATCTGTTGTCCATTTGGATAATAAAGTATTTTTTGTAGTTTAATTGTTAAATACTTTAAGAAGTTAATTTACTTAAGGATAGGGACCAACTCACACTTTTGTTTGTCCTTTAGCTGTTAGCACAGAGAATGTATAATGAATATTTTGTTGGATGGACAGTACTACTTAGAGATAGAAGATTCTTCTCTATCATATAAATTCTATTTTGCTTACAATATTTCTGTTTTTGTTTCCTGAACATGTATCAGGAAAGGACTTGTGTATTTTTTAGGATCCTTAGAATATATTCTAGTGGGAAAATATCTTTATTAGATTTGATTTATGTTTTTATATTTGATCAGCAGGGCAACAGGAACCTGATAAAGAATCAGGAACCTCAGTTGATGATGTAGCAAGACAGTTGGAAAGACAAGTGTTGGAAGAGAAAGAAAGAGATGATGATGATGAAGGTAAATGGTTAATTTGATTTTTGTGGTTAGAAAAGCAAGAAAATAAGACATTCTTTAAACTAAAACTATTAATTTGTTCATATAGTCCAGTATTCTCTGATGTTTTGGTTAATTGATATTAAAGCCTCAATGCCACAAAGAGGAGAAGGTATTTATTAGCAACTTTTTAAAAAGTTGAATATGTTGAATGCTCAAATAACACAGATCACAACTCTTGAAAATGTACTTGGTAAAGGCCAAGTAGTGGGTGAGTATGAATAAGATAAAATTGAAGTCCTGTTTATTTAACTAATGTTTATTGAACAACTGATATATATTGTGCACTATCTTAGGATACATTCATGCATTCTCATTTTACCCTCACAAAATCAAGCAAACAGGAAATAAGAGTTACGTGATTTGCCTAATGTGACACAGCTAGAATGCATAAAATAGAGCCAGAGTTTCAAGCAGCAACTGGTTCCAAGTCTGTTCCTTTTACTCTCTTTCAAGTGCCAAAGGTACTTCTCTTTATTCTCAAAGGAGCATCTTGGAGCACTTATAAAATCTATTATAAATTCCCTGATCCTAGATCTTTGTGGTATTTTGGAGCTTTCTCCATAGATTTCATTAAAGACAACTCTTGGAATTTATA